TCAGGGAGAAAGTATTTGAATTTCACAAAACCAACATACTCAAAACCAACCTGACAAGCCGACTTACTATATTACATGATAAACTGCTAAGAAACATAATTTTTATTTCAATGTAACTGTGACAATCATATAATTCTATCCCGTGGTGTTTTAGTGAATCAGGCCAAAATGAGCTAAAGTCTCTAAAGCAAAATATATAGTTACAATACTATCACTGGAACACTTTTCTAAATGATTTTAATTCAAATGATTAATTTAAAATGATTTTTTCAACATCTAAATATAAGCAAGTGGGTAGAGTACTGCAAATATGGAATTGGGTCATTTATAAAAACATACGTAACACATTTAAAACGTGAAATCAATTCATTTCCTCCTAGCACCAATTACCTATGATGGTTGTGAAATATAAAAAATTAAGCAATGTGTAATGTATTTTTAATATTAGTTTTCATTAACATATTTTGACCTAAGCTAAATGGTAATGATGAAAAATGGCCCATTTGGTTACAGTAATACTCTTATTAAATCTAAAATAGTATGGCACAAAATCAAACCACAAAAAGGCCCTTATTATGTTATCCTTGATTTTCTGAAGAAAAACAGTGAACGTTTCCATAGTTCAAGTGAAAATGACACACACAAATTTATTCAGGCAAAGACAAGACAGATTCTGTAAAATCAAATTCCTTTCTAGTACCCTGACTGTAATTCTAATAAGTCACTACATTATCTCAATTAGCAAAATTAGGTTAGGTTGAAAACAAGTATATTTTATTTTGTCACCTTTGCTAAAATTTCTGTCAAATCACACGTTAGTTGAAAAGCCTGAGTAATTCTAGTCTATCTTAAATTGTAACTTTATTTTAAACTTCCTTATTCTAACCCAGTAGAATTTTAAGTACACACTATGTACATTCCTCAGGTCTACTTATATTAAATTCTGATGTTAAGCAAAAAGGGAAAACCATGTGCAACTAGATTAATTTATGTCAAGGGAAAAGGGCACATTAATAATTGAGATAACTTTTTCATAAATGTTGTAATCAGATGTGCCTGTTCTCTCCTTTATTCGAAAACACATTAGGAAAAATTATCTCATACTAATCAGTAAGAATTAATTGTTGAGAAAAATTCTATTTTTTTCCAAAACATTCAGATTTTATTTCTAATAAGTCCAAACAGCTAGCAATGTACCACGCATACAAGTCTTGTTGGAGCAAATGAATATAAGCAAAATGGCTGTTTGAAGCACTTTAAAATGATTTATTTTAAAGTATCTGAATTTGCTATTTTTAGAATACATTAAAATTTAAATACCAAAGCAAACTGACCAATAAATAACTAATTTGACTTTTATTTTGCTAATTTCCTTAAACAAACAAAACACAAAACAAAACAAAAAAAAACTTGTATTATTGCCAGAAAAAGAGAAAGAAACAAAAAGAAAAAAAGAAAGAAAAAAAAGCTCTTGGGATTTCCAAAACACCTAAAAGATTTCAGTACTGAAGTAACAGAATATATTTAATTTTCTTTAAATGCACAAAAAAGGGCTGGGGATTGAGCTCAGTATGGGAACACTTGTCTAACAAGCAGGGGGCCCTGGGTTCTGCCTCAGCACTAAAAAATTAAAAAGCTAAACGCACAGACAAAATATTAATTTAAAAATGCTTACAGTAAACCAACCACACTCTTCATGGCTGATATGTACTAAAGAGTCCTTTTTCTACAGAGAAAATAGAGTTGTTAGTGCCTGAAAAAAAGTAGTAACTAAAGTGCATCTGTTTCTGTAATAGCTTTTATGTCCATAATAAAACTATGAACTGTAAACTACAACAAAAACACAACATCTACTTGGAAATAGTGACAAGAAAAGACTAGTGATTCGTTTATTGTATTGAAATAAAGAGAAGTAACTCTGGTGATACCTAACAGAATATGAGTACTAAATTCTAAATATAAAGACAGTTCTTCAATAGCAGATATCTTGAAAAAATGAGGAAAAAAACTACAGTTGACTTTTGAAATGAAATTGTCATGAGTTAACTATTTTAATTTTTTAAAAATATCTGCTTCATGTTAACATGATATTCTGGAAGATATCTAAAAGAATATATTCTTAAATAGAGATTTATTACACATGTCATTAAATAATTACTGCCAAACATAGACCTACAGTGTATCCCAATTACTGATTTTTCTCATATGAATAATATAATGATTGAAGTGCCTCTCTTTAGGTTTGAAAGGAAAGATTAACATTTAAAAATAATCCAATATCACTGAGTTTTATTGGATCATTGAACAGAACTGTTTGCAGTCTCACTGTTGGAATGTCCACTTTACATGCTATAATTTTGTGACTTGAACAATTATTTTTAAGATGACAATATGTAATCCATTAACTAGTGATTTCCTACTGTTTATTTTTTTCTGTAAATCTGTATAACTTGTACCCTTTCTCTGATTTTTTCTCCTTAAATAAAATTTTAAAAAAGAATAATCCAACATTTAAAATCTTATAAATGTAACTTAAACAGTCATGCTTCAATTTTTTTACACTTATAATTCATATCTTATATGTAACTATACTAATAAAAATCTGAAATGTATTTTTTTTTTTTTGGTGGTACTGGGGATCGAACTCATGACCTCACACTTGCCAGGCAGGCACTTAAGCCACTGAGTTAAAATTCCCAGCCCCTGAAATGTATTTTAAAAGCATTTTATCTTATAAATAAACACAGACACTAAATTACCTGGCCCCAGTTAATTACACTGTTTGTACTCTCCCAGGAGACAATTTGCATGGGCAAAGTTTTAAAGTCCCTTCAATCCCCCAAATGTAAGTGATTCTAAATGTTACAGGTGATAAAAATGAATAGGTTGATTATGTCCCGAATTCAAAGTAGAAACCTATAGATCATCCAAGCACACACCCAGTCTTTTACAACACAAACAAGGTACATTCCCTACACATTTAATTAACATACTCTAAGCAACAGATGAAACTCAGTTTACATCTACTAAGTTTCAAGGAAAACCCTGAACTAAATTTCCCAGCTTGTTTAGTACAAGAGAATTTTAACACTGAGTACAAATGGAGGCACAAAACTAAAGGTTCCCTAGTTTTCAGTGACAATGTGTTATAATAGTCTATACGTGCAGTGGCCTCCTGCCAACATCCCAATTATTCTGAGCTTCCTGGAAAAAACGAAAAACAAAGAACTATGGGATTTTTTTCACATTTACGGTTTTGTCCTCTGCACTCTAAAACCAGGCATCAAAGGGCCATGTAGAAGTGTTCAGCTTACCATCTCCAGAAAGATTAAATCTCAACAAATGCTTCATGATTTCCAAAGAGAAGTACTGACAGACCTTTAACTGTATAGAATTAGAGTGCCTGGTGACAGCGCTAAATTATGAAAAGTGCCTGGAAGTATTTTATAAACTTTACACTACATTGGAGTTATAGTTAATTAGAAACAAAAATCAAACAGGAAATCTGCCAGAAGCTCTGACTATGTCCCACTTGTCCATTGTCTTATGTGAAAGCTATGACGTCACCTACACCTGCGTTAACTATGTACCAAGCTGCTTCTCACTGCCAGAAAGCAGGTTTCTAGAAAGTAAATGTCTGTTTCAGACAAATATTGTCTTTGATAATACAAATCTGCTTGCTCGGTAACGCAGACGCACCCATTTTTACCCTCACTCAGCCTGAGACTGAAAATGTGTAGCTTCCCAGTAACAGTGTAGGTAGGAACTGTACGCTGGAACTCAGGGCTGGACTCCAGGAGGGCACCAGGGAAGGAGGCCCAGGCCTCCCTCTGGCCTGTGAGCTGTGCACTCACACAGTGGCTACTCCTCCCTCCCGTGGAAGAGCTGTCCTGTGACTCAGGCTCAGTGCCTGGACACCGACAGGAGTGTGAGCGCTGTGGACCCGGGTTTGCTTTGCCCAGTGGCATCCACCCTGGGTCTGATACAGACAGAGTAGGGCCTTGGTCTGAGTAGATTACTGAGTCCCATGAGTTTTATTTAGTGAATATGAGGCAGTTCACAACGCTGACCATGCTGACAAGACTGACTGAGCATAGCGCGAGAGAGACAGAGCAGAAACAAACCATTATTGGGACACGAAGGCCCATGTCACGCCAGTCTCTGGTAACTCAGAAGCTGCCTTTCTGACTTCTACTTCATTATTTCATACGGCCACGGTCAGCCAGGTGTGCACATTACTTAATGTGACGGCTTCCAGCGCCACGAGTTTCAAAAATAACTCTCCATAGATGAGGGTGATGAAAATCAGGGGGGGGACCTAACAGTAAGTCTCTGCCTCTTCAGGAGTGGACCTCAGCGATCAAATAGAAGTCCTGGGAGAACTCTCAGTTGAACATTTTTTCACACAGGTTATTTTTAAATAATAACATCACGTGTTAGGTTATATAAAAGTGCTCCTAATTTTACCCTTCTATTTTGTTGAAAACTATAATCTCACTTTATGGAGAAAGAAGAAAAATTTGTGATTTTGACTCACAACATGATTTGCAAAGAACTTGCACTGTGAAAGTTGTGAGCTGTGTTTTGGTCACTCACACTGAGCACTCAGGAAGTTGTTTTTACTCAAGAAAATAAGCCTGAGGCTTACCTTCCTGCCCCTGACACAGAAACACGTGGGCAGGGCTTGCAAAGGGACTTGCAGGTCCCCCATCCCCAGCTCTAACACCCCGCATGCTCTACGCCATCTCCTGGGCTGTTTTCTCTCCTTACTCCAAATTCAGAGAACAAGGGTCACAAGCCCTTTGCAGCTGGAACCCAGGCAGGCTAGGGTGGGCCCTGCCCCTGCCCCTGCCCCTGTCCCTGCCCCTGCCCCTACCCCTGCCCCTGCCCCTGCGCGCGGGCCCAGCTCTCCAGCTCTCCAGCTCTCCAGCTCTCCCGGCTCCCTCGGAAGCTGCTGCCCAGGTTCCCGGCCAGCCGGGGCAGCACGCGGCCTCACTCACCTCCCAGAGATGCTGCGTGTTCCTCACGGCGCCCGCCTGCACCTGGTCCGGGGCCAGCAGCACGCCCTGGAAAGGCCCGATCCAGGTGCCCTGCTGGATCCTCTGCGCCGCGCAGATGCCGTAGGCCAGGCCGGGCACGGTGCTGGTGCACAGGCACACCTCCCGCGGCAGGTCGCGCAGCCACTCGGGCAGCTCGGGGGGCGCGGCGGCGGCGGCGCTGCTGGTGCCCACGAGCCGGCGCAGCGAGTGCAGCGGGCCGTGCATGGGGCACTCGCCGTGGCGGTGGTCGGCGCACATGTCGCAGCCTGCGGAGACAGGGGCGTCAGCGGGAGGCCCTGCGCTCGCCCCGCGTGCACACCCGCGCCCTCCTCGGCCCCCTTTGCACGGACAGCGGAGCGCTGACCTCCGAGCTGGACTCCGGAGCTGGACTCCCGACGGCTGCGCCGCCGCTGCCCCCCGGCCGTCCGGCCAGGGAAGCCTGGACCCCTGAACCCGGCCCGGCCCTGGGCGCCTGCGGGTGGACACTGGCCACAGCGGCCGACGCCGGAACCGGGAATGGGCGCTCAGTGCTCAGCTGGGGACACATCCAGCCCTGGCCTGAGGACACCCGGGCCCCCGGAATCCCCTGCTGCGGGCGCACCCTGTCAAGCTGACCCTCCGACCCACCAGACCTTCACGCCAGGCCGAGCAGGAAGCCTAGGCCCCCCGGGTAGCAGCGGGCCTGGTGGAGCCCCGTGTGTGCGCCCCTGCGACCTGAACCCCTAGCCCCGGCTCCCCAGGAACTCTGGGGCACTGGGCCAGACTCAAGGCTGATGGAGGTGGGGAGAGCCGGGCACCAAGGATGGTCCGGGCAAGGCTGGGCAGGTGGGGCCCAGCACGGGTCCCAGCCACCCACCCCACCCCCAGACGAACAGACAGACCGAGCCCAAGTGCCCAGGACTTCATTGCAGCTGGGCCCTGTTATGAATCCATCAGTGAGACAGTTTCCATGAAGGAACACGAAATTACAATTCAGCATGGTGAGCTTCTTAGTGGGTGGTGGCTGGTTATTTAAGCATCCTACCTCTCTCCAGGGAGGTGCTTGGCTACTCAGCCAGGACACTCCACCCGAGTGGAGCTCAAGCAAGGGGGCACTCTTTAAGGGTGTGCCCTGGCTATGGTAAGAAGCAACAGTGTGTCTCCTTCGCAGAAGCTTCCTTGAACACCAAGGGTTCTTCTGCCAGCAGTGTGCTAGACCAAGCCTCCATGTCTAGCCCTAAGGCTGAGGTGGGGATATGCAGACACGTAACTGTGTGTCAGCTTCTCAAAAACACACATACTCACTGCCTTGAGCTTTTGACTGTGAAAACAAAAACTTCAGAACAGTGTGGAAGTGCAAAGACTAAATACTCACGATTTCTAAGAACCTACTATGTGTCTGTCTTGAACCAAACTATCACCATATTATCTCAGTACCATGATTCCCATTGTACAGATGTGGCCAATGAGGCTCCTCGAGCACTGTAAGTTGATCAAAGATCAGCAAAGCTAGAAGGTGACAGAGAAAAGATTCACAGTTGGGTCTACCTGACACCAGTGTTTCCAAAAGTGAGATCAGAAAGACTACTGAAAGATGGAAAATTTTACACCCAGACTCATGATTCAATCAATCAATGGAATGGAAACATTTCACTGAGATAATTATTTGAGGGCCACAGAAACTGCTGCAGCATGATTGAGTTAGATATTTCTCTCCCGTGCTCTTAGAGCTAAATAAAATAGAATTACTATGAGAATTAACTGGTAATGCCCATAATTTGAATGTTAGTGTTTAAATATAGATTGGCCTTTCAGCACCTTAAGCAAAAATAACTAAAAACAAATGACAATAAAACAAAAACTATATTCCCATGAAAATAAATGTAAATCATCCCATGGAGCGCCTTAATTGATATTTCCTGTCTGGCTGACTCAATGAAGCAAAGAACAAGAAGCAACGGTATGGTATTTCCTATCGCAACTCCTAATAACTTGCACCAGGCTCCACTGACTTCTAACATCACCACATGGAACATCACATCAACTACGTCAGTAATAAAACAAGAAGTAAACTCCAGCTACCGTCCCCATAGACAAGCAATATTTGTAATGAATAAAACTACACTGTCTTTTCTCTAAAATGTTTCTCTAAAGCCCTCTTCAGTTTACTGTTTCATTTTTCTCTACAACATGTTGAAGTAAACTTAATAACTGCATTTTGCAGAATACTGAAAAACAGAGCTTTCCCCATTATCTAAGGAGGCCACCTGTTTGTGCAGACCACCACAGAGTCAGAGCACTCAATTCACTTGATTCACACCACCCAATATGAATCTTTGTGAACCACTTCAGCTATATCATAATAATCTGTCAAAAAAGTTGACTGCCATCAAAATACATGCTATATCAACACTTTTAATATACAAAACCTTCTAAACTGAAAACATTTTATTTCTAACCCAGAGGAGCTTGACGGTGTTTAAAACAATAACCCATTTCCCAGTTGACAAATACCTTGCATGTTGACATTCTAGAAAAATATTTCTAGTCAGTGAATCGTAAACACCTGTATAATATTTGATAGGGAACTCATCTATTTGGAGACACATATGTACATGCTCTATGATATATAAATATATATCTATTTTTACACTATGCAGCATTCTAGGTAAGCTGTACATAAATCCATTTGCATTCATAAGCAGGAGGCAAATAAATGTTTCCACACTCTCTTAGATTCAGAGAAAAAGCTTTTGTATACATTCATAATTATTGCTCATAAAAAGTTTTCTCTATGTGTGAGCGGTATTTTTATAATCCTTAAAGCAAGATGCACTGAACGTTGCCTTAGCACCAGGAGCATATGCAGCCTGGTCCCTCTTCTGCCTTGACCAGCTCTCTTTGCATCCGTGGGGAGGCAGAGCCACACTTGGCTGCAGACCTGTTCACCTGCTGACTTGAGAGAGCAGATGTCACCTTTCCTCTTTCTTGTCCTTATCATGTGCCTGGCTTCACAAGTCATGTATAACTTCTATTATGTTAAATCAACCTACTTTAAGGGCAAGGGAGCAGTTGGGGTATTTTTCTTTCTCTTGTTAAGAAAGGTGAAATAAAGAACACTCCAGAGCTGCTGGTATCTCAGAGACAGACAGCATGTTGGGAGCAGGAGAGGTCCCCAGTGCTGGAAACTGCAGGCCTCTACTCCCCAGAGCCTTTCTGAAGCCCTCTGCAAAGAGAGCCCAGGCACAGCTGGAGAGCTGGCTCCCACCCCCTTAGCAACAGGGGCCCATCAAACTGTGCATCCTTCCCAACCCCTAGGTCAGGGCCCTGAAGCTTGGATCTCCCCCTGCAGCCACAGCCCCATCTCAGCCCCAGAGGCGGCCTAGTGCCGCCTGCTGGTGGCCTGCACCTTGCAGCCAGGCCAGGAAGGGTGAGAGGTGGATGGGGCAATGGCAGACCAGTGCCCCAGGGGACTCCTCGCCCTCGCTGGATCCAACGCCTGGGCTCCCTCGGGCTCCCCTCCACCAGGATTCCCCAGCGGAGGTCAGGACAGGGTCAAAGTGGCCATGGAGTGGCCACCCACCCCCTAGCCCCCCACCCCATGCGCACCATCACCCACCCAGCCTGATCCACAGAGCAGGAGTCTGAGCACTCCACAAGGTTGCGGAGAGGAACTCATTGGCCTGGTCTACTGCAGGGCCCACTTGGGCTGGGCCCTGGACCCCATGGAAGAGACAAAGGGGAAGCAGAGAGGAGAGGCAGGAACGTGGCTTTGTCTCCTGATGACTGTATTAATAAATTAGGGGAGCACCAGCGTGAAAGGGCGCGAGCACTGTGGAGATAAAGCTCCCGGCCCTGGCCTGCGAGGCTGCACGGACAATGGAGATGATGAATAGGAGCCCGCAGAAGAGATCGAAGCGGGCCTGGGCTGGCTCCACTCTCTCCTACAAAACTATAGGGCAATTAATTGTGGCTTGTCCCCTCATCCTTCATCTCCTTGTGGCACATATCGATGGCGATTACTGCTGATGGACCATTTTATCACCTTAAATAAACAGTCGCCACCCCTTCTAACCTCAATCTAATATATGGCTCTATGTTCAGTTTCAGGGCGCTAGATAACGAACGATGTAAAACAGCTAAATCATGTGTGTTCCGGGATGGGGCCAGCCTGCTCATGAAAACAGTGGGGGGCAGCATAAAAGCCCACGTCAGGAGGGCCTCCCTCCCACTGGGGACCAGATCAGAAATCCGAGTCCTTGCTGGGCTTTGACACCAGGAACCTGGAACAGGCAGGGTACAAGAGGGCGCCCTGATGGTACAGGTGGAGCCCACTCGCGGTGGCCCTGGGCCTGAAGCTTTCCAAACGGGATTAGGGTTTTCAAACTGGGTGGGAAGAGATGGAGAGGGCAAGAAAAAAGAAAAACTCAGCCTCCTTCCCTCTTTCCCAGATTTTAGAACTGGGCTCCCAGTACTGGACAAACTGATATCGGCCCCAGGTGTCTTTCTCCCCAAACCATTGGCCAGTGCTGCCCACCAGGAAGCCTTCAGCCCTGCTCCAGCCCTGCACACACCAGCTCTGCTCCCTGGCAGGAAGCCTCCCATAAATCAGGAGGGCTGGGGAAGTTTCCTGGTGACCTATCATACACACTCTACCGGTCTTACTGCTTGTCGCCGCTCAGGTGGACAAGAGGGACTTCTCCAAATGGTGTGAGAACTAACTGGCTCTGCAGAGACATGATCCTGGGTCTTCCCTACAAACACCAAGTGCACTCCTGACTACCTCCCGCCGGCTTCTTAACAGCTCCCAGAGCCAAGGGGCACGCCAGTGCGATGCAGCCTGGTGAAACCAATGCACTGGGCAATCCAGTAACGAATGAGGGCAGCAACACGAGAAAGAGCCCAGCCCTGTGTGCAGGACTACAGGACCAGCACTGAGCTTCTGAGGGAGAGAAAAAGCTTCCACGGGAAAGTGTGCTTCATCACTGAGTAAACCAAGACTCCGAGGAGCTCACGTGGGCTGGCTTGCAGTCTGGGCTGTTTTAAAACCTACAAGTGTGTCCTGAGTATATAAAGACTATATACACCTTCCTTCCCTGTGGCATTCGCCATAAATGCCAATGAAGTTTCAGGGGGAGTGTTACTGAGTTCTTCTCTTAGGGAGCAATGATACTGTATTGCTGATCCCAGGCAAAAAGTTATACTTCCGAAGGGAAGGGAGAAGTCAACAGGCCCCCTTTCACCCTAGTTAAGAAAAAACAACTGGGCAGCTTTTAAAATGCAAGGTGACGAAGCAACGCTGAATGGTCATTGCACAGAATTGTTTTAGCAAGAAAGAGCAAAAAATTAAAAGGAAAACTCCGGAAACCTACACACGCTGAATTAATAGCAACTCCCTCCCGCCTCCACCCTGCCTTGCATCACCTCCCTCCCACAAACACCCCCAGCCTGAGGAGACCTCTGTTCGCAGTCTTTTAAGTGAACACGCCAATTCCCAAGCCAAGGGAGAGTCTTACTTTCTCCAAAAGATTTGTTTTAAGCCTCCAGTTAGATTTAACTCACCTTTCGTTTTTTGTAAAATACACCCCAAGTTTCAAAGACAGTGCCTAAGCCTGCTTGCCCAGAGAAGTTCTGAGATGTTGAGCCAACCCCACCGGCTTATCCGGCTTATCCGGAGCTACCCCAGCTTTCTGTTTTCCTCCTCAATGAGCCTTTAATTAGTGAGCAGCAGCGGAGCAACTCTAACTTCCTTTTCTGTCTACATTTTCTTCTGTACTTTGAACACTGAAGCAGTTCAGCGGATTCAAAGGGAGACACCAGACGATTAACACAACAGGAGTATTTTAAATAAAATTAGAATTCTTCTCCTTTAACAGGAAAAGATACCCAGACAATCAACTGACTCAATATTCACATATTAATTAGTAACTTAACCTAGTTCTTTCTCTGGGCAGTCTTGTTTCCTCTGGTGAAAATATACCAGGTCTCAAGACTGTAGTGTAAACAATCTAAGAGATTCAACACACAACCAGGACCTTAGAGTGTGCTGGCGGTGTCTTTTCCAGCACAGGTTTAATTCAGAAAAGAATCCGCACCCTCCAAGAGGACACTATTTCACTTAGCAATAAGAAATGCCTTTCTAAAGCATTTTTCACTTTTTATTCCCACTCAGAACTGCTCTAAAAACAACTCATACAAGCAATTCATTAGGAAATACGTATTTGAAATTCACTAAGAAAATATAATTTTAGAAAATGTCTTAAAACTGAAATATAACAGTTCTGAAGGATACAAGAAATTAAAAGTGAAAATCTCATTTTAAACCAATATTTTACCCTCAGGATCTGGAAAGGAAAAAAAAAAACAAATGTAACTGCTCTTTTTGTTGGTAATTATTATTTTCATTACAATTACCTCTAACTATTGTTAAACGATTAATATAACCTCACTCACTAGGTCTATGCCCACCCGGTGTTCTTTCATCAAAGCACTTTGGGACTTAGGTTATTTTGCTCTTACAACAAATTAAGAAGTTCGTGGCGCAACTTATTCAAAATAGAACAAAAATAAATATGTATGATCAACTTTTCTCATAGAAACACCAGATGAAGATTTAAAAAACCATGCAGAATGAACGCTGATTCTTCAACAGCCTGTACTGCTTTCAACTAACATTCTTAATCTGCTTTAATGTTATCGAAAAAGGTCTCTAAAAGTATGCTTAATGCTTAATCCTCCAAACTTAAGGTGTAAATGTATCACAACTTCTGAAATTGCCAAGCAAAAGGAAATGTAAAGCCATACACGTTGTTGATTTTCGTTCAGAGTTTTGCCTCAAAACCTCCAAGTACAGTCCTGTGGATAAATGTCTGGAACTGCGAGTGTGGAGATCAAACCGTAAGAGTTCAGTGTTTACGCAGGCATTTATCGTTTGGTCGAGGGAAGAGGAGAGTAAGTCTTCTAAGTTTCTATCACCCTGAACTTTTTAAAAGTCCAGCGTGGATTGCACGCGTTTGCCTGATCGAGGATGCGCGGAGAACGCGGGATTCTCAAAGCACGATCCTGCCCGGACCCGGGAACTTTTTTCTGCAAGCGGCGGGCACGGTTTTTTTCTACCTTTTCTAGATACACTGTAGACCCGAGAGCAACGCCCGTCTGCAGGGCGACAGACCCGCCGCCACCCAAAAGTCGGCGCACCCCGGACTCCGGGCGGCCCCCCAACATCCCGGGGCCGGGGGCGCGAGGCCGCGGTCACTCGGATGCGGGGCGGGGACAAGCGGACCGCGCAGCACCGGCCGCCCTGCTGCCCGGGGCGCGGGGAGCCCCCGCCACGGTCCGGCAGGGGGCGGAGGTCACAGGCGCGGGCCGGGCGCCAGGGTCCCCGGCCGCGGCTGGGCTGCGAGCCCCCTGCAGACCCGCCCGCTCGCCCGCCCCGGAGAGCGCCGCCGCGGCTACGTACGGTTGTTGGGGTCGCTGGTGTGCTGGTTGAGCGGGATGATCTCCATGCGCTGCTGGCCGTACAGGTAATAGTCCAGCTCCTCGGCGCTGCAGCGGAAGCGCGGGGCGCCCCGGCCGTCCCGATCCCCGCCGTGGCCGCCGCCGCACTTGGCGGGCCCGAGCCCCGGGCCGGCGCCCAGGCACAGGTCCTTCGCGGGCAGCGGCTCGGCGGCCACGGCGGCGGCCAAGGGCGCGAACACGGGCAGCTGTGCCACGGGCAGGGCCGAGAGCCCCGCCAGGGCGGCGGCGGCGGCGCAGGAGGCGGCGGGGGAAGCGGAGGCGGAGGCGGCCGGGGCGGGCGCGGAGGTCAGCGCGGCGGAGGTCAGCGCGGAGGTGGTCAGCGCGGCGGGCCTCGGGCGCAGGCTGTCCGGCGTGGGCTCGGCGCGCTCCGGGGGCGGCGGCGGCAGCGGCAGCGGCTGGGACGCGCCCAGGGGACCCGCGGCGCCTCCGCCCTTCAGCGGCCCGCCGCCGCCGCCGCCGTGGGGGAAGAGCTGCTGCCAGTGCTGCAGGTAGGCTGGGTCCACCTTGAGGAAGGCCGAGCCGCCGGGCTCCCCCGGCTTCAGCATGTCCGACGCCTCGAGCTGGGGACAGAGGGCGGGGTGGGGGGCGCGCGTGAGCCGCCGGGCCGGGCAGGAGGCGCGCGCAGGGCGCGGGGTCCGGAGTCGGTCTCCCAACTGGACGAGGCGCAAAGTTTACTCGGTGCCGCGGGCGGGCGGCTGGGGGACCCGCGTGCACTCCGTGCCGCCCCGCCCGCAGCCCCGCTCCCTCCGCGAGGCCGCAACTCGGCGGTGGCGCAGCCCCTGCCCTCCGCAGCGCCTCGGAGCTGGAGCCGAGCGGCGTGGCGCCCGGCCGCGGGGCCTCGGAGCCGGGAGACGCGACGGCCTCGCCCGCGTTCCCAGTCGGGGCCGCCACCCCAGCACCCGGGGCTCTGGGCCGGAGAGGAGCCCCACTCTACCTGCAAACTCAGAGCCGCTGGCGTGCGCGCGTGTGTGTGCGTGTGTGTGTGGCGGCGAGCGAGCGGGCGGGCGGAGTGCGTCCCGGGCAACTACATGCCCCAGTCGGCGTGGGTGGTGAGCCTCGCGGAGCGGGCGCCCGAGTGCCTCTGGGGAGACGAGCGCAGGACGCGGGAGCGCCGGGGATGCGGAGCGCCGGGGGCGCAGGGGGCCGGGGCGCGCGGAGCCTCGGTGGCTGCGGCGCTCTGGGCCGCTGCGTCCCGGCTCCTCCGCTGCGCTCTGGCAGCCTCTGGGTTGGACACGTGGGTTTTACGACAGCACAAAATACAAGTGTGTGTGCGTGCGCGCGAGTGTGGTGTGAAGAGGACGGAGGGGGTGGAGAGGAGGCGGGAGGAGGCCGGGAGCGCGGGGAGGGGAGAGGAAGACGGAAGTTCTGGCTCGGCCGCCTTTCGCTGCCCGCGCCCCTCGCCGGCAGACGCCTTCTCGGCTCTCCTGCCCCCTAAAGCTTTGGCATGCAGCGTCCTGCTTGCTTGTTGTGTCTCTTTCTGACTCTGCTGTGTCTTTTCTAGGTGTCGGCTAAATGTCTGGGTCCTGAACGCCGTGGAAGTGCAGAAGCCACAGTGCATCTCTGCTTGCGCTCCAGTCCTTGCGCCGAGCGGAGCGCGCTCTGCAGGACGAGGAGATCCCGTTCACCGACAGACTCTGCGCTCCATCCCGGCTGCATTTTTCCTGGAGTGCTGCTGGGGCCAACGTCGACTCGCTCGCCGAGCAACCTAGCACAGCAAATCCTCTGGGAGAAAAGTTGGGGGGAGGATGGAGCGCCAGAGCGAAGCCCTCGGTTCCGCCGCTCAGCAGTGAGGATCGGCGGAGCTGGAGCTGGGAGCTGGGAGCTGGGACTCTACAGAGCAGCTCGTCCCGGCGAAGCTGTAGCCTGGCCGGGGCCGGGAGGCGGCTGTGGCGGTCTGCACACGCCAGCGCTCAGCCAGGCCACCTCTAGGGCGCCTTCCTAGAGGACTCCTCCCTCTCGTGTGCTGTAGGGTCAGGGATCCAGAGCTTAAGTCTGGTGCCGCAACTGATTCCGGATATGGGAGAGGCAGTTTGCCTTCTGCCGCCTGGGCTGGCCCCGGAGTCGCATAGGTTTCTCTGGTTAGACATGGTCTTCGGGGATGTAGGGTGACGCGCAGCCCTCCCCCCCTTCCTATGCCCTCGGAGAACTTTGGGCCACATTCGTTCTGCGTGCGTTCTGGCGTACACGAATTAAGCACCTGTCCTCAGCTCATCCACGAATCAGGCGCTTGGCATTGATGATACTCGGTGGTAGAGGACACCGACAGCTGGGTGAAAGTGACCGATTCAGGCGCTTCCCCCTCGCCAGAATTCTGTCCACACCACACGGGAGAGACATTATTCTTTTTCCAAACAACCCAATTAATTTAGCATTCACAACTGAAAATGTAATAGTCATCCTTTTCTGATTTCAGCTCGCTTTTCTCTTCCCACTGCTCATTTTATCTGAGCATGGGAAACTCGGTGTTTAGACTTTGTCCAGGTCTCACTCATGATCGCTCAATGTTGGTTGGACCGAAAATGTTTTCACTGGTGTGGTTATGACAAGACTATCGGTCATCCCTGAGTAGATTGCTAGAACCCAGGCCTAAAGCAAACACAGGGGAACCCACACCTCTGTAGACCCCCCAAGTTAACCAGACAGTCTTCACAGACTTCGGATAACTCTGGGGAAGGGAGGGTGAGTTCCTGGGCCCCTTTTCCATTGCAGCCTGCAGAACTGCGGTGAAGCCGTGCTTTTTGCACCTTCCCAAGTTCACTGCTGAGAAACCAGGATGCTTCTCGCTTCTCAGTATGTTGGGATAGGCAGGTCCCACTGAGGATAAAACCCAGAGGCAAAGGCAGTGACTGCCCACACTGGCCAGGAGTCCCCAAGAGTCTCTCACAAAGCCCTCTCCCACTGCAGCAACTGCTTCAGAGGCCTCATGTGCTCCACACTCGGAGTGTGTGTGTGTCATCCTAGCACAATTAGCTGACCAGTTAATGAGAGCTTTACATGCGCTAGGTGTGGGTTGGCACTTTGTGTACATTTAGGTCACCTAGCATCCATGCTGGAAAGCATTATCATTAATCCCACATTGTTATCAAAAGGGACCCAGCAAGTACAGAAAGGCTATGTAGGTTGCCTGAGATCACAAAGGAGTATCCTGACCCTGGCCAATGGAGTTACCAAGTGCACTTTCCAGCCCCTCCTAAATGAGTCCCACCCTCATCCCATCCAGACTGGATGGAGGATGCACTGGAGACTTGTGGCTTGCTTGGGGCCAGGAAAGAGGTATGGGAGGCCCCCTTTCCCTTAATGCTATAAATTGGACAATTGTCCTGTTAGATTCCATCGGCATCCCTAGGCAGACGGAAGAGGGGAGAAGAGGGGACTCTAGGTCCCTCAGTGTGCAGAAGATGTGGCATGAAGGGGACAGGCAGAATTGGAGCTTAGCAAGCCTTCAGGGGGAGGGAAAGCAAGAGAGCCACATGGAAACCTCCCCGGCAGCTCTGCAGCAGCGCTGGCAGAGGCAGCGGTGGCACCATCCTCTCACCTTGGGCACAGGCTGAGCAGTGGCAGGGAAGGGTGGCTGCGAGGTAGGTTCTACTGCCAAGCTGGACCTGAGGTCACCAACATGGCTGCCTGTCCCGAGGGGTGACTGGAAGTGAGCTCCTGGGCTGCAAGGATGTATGTGATCCACCCCCAAATCCACTCCTCTCCTCTTCAGCGCTTACTACACCATGGAAACAAATCACTTCGACCACTTAGGAAGCAATCAAACCTTTATAAAAATCCATGGCTCCCAAATCGATGAGTGAATATTTGCTGGGAATTTGTTCCGGAGAAATAAATAAGGTGCATGAGTGTATTAGATGCAAACGGGGGACACAGTGGTGTTTTTCTTCATTGATTAATGACCTCTAAAATGAAACAAGTGGGAAGAAGAGTTGAGATCGATAACTTCACTACCCCAAATTTATCATTTTCTCTAGAATTCCTCCCGCAAAAAAACCCATCCTTAAGAAGCCCATTGCACCCTTAGCCGGGGGCAGAAGGCAGAGCAGGAAGAGACGAGAAACACAGGAAAGCAAGAAGGACGTCTGCTGGCAGAGCCTTTGTCCCATTTCCTTTGACACACAATTAAAAAGTTTGCTTTCATATTCATTCTTTCCTGGGGGGAGGGGCACGAGTGGTAGCCGGCTGACAGGACTCCAATAAAGGATTCACAGCACTCCCCTGCCTGGGGTGCTCGGGCTCTAGGTTTAAGGTCATGGGTGGCTGAGTTAATAATTCATTAATATAGACATTTATTCAGAAGGGTTCTCTGAGATCCACTCTTGCAGCCTCCTCCCAGAGATTTATTTTCCTGAGAAATGGATTGGGGGGCTGTAGGGTTGCAGGTGAAGAGGGGGTGGAGGAGAGGAACAAGACAGGCTGATTGCTGTGGGAGGAGCATTCACTTAGGCACGCTGTGGACCATCCCTTTAGCCTGTCATCAAAAACTTGGTGGAAAATATGGGGCTCTGGCTTTCGGTGGTCCTTTCTCCTGCTACTACAGATGTTCGTCTGCTTTCGGAAAGCTCCTTTCCAACACGATTTAGCTTGAGGACCTTAAAATGCAGGCTTGGGGAGACTGACAGCAGCCTACTGGCAAACCACAGTCCTCAACAGAGGAGTATGCAGACTTGCTCAGATGGGAATCTAAGAGATTTCTTCTTCTTAAGCATAGGCGAATTCTGGTGGACACTTTGGTCCTCAGAAATGGGACAGTGAGAGCATTACAAAACATCACACAGAAAGCCCAGGTCCTGAAGTCTGTGGATGTAAAGAGTGTGTAATCGTTACACAGGGACAGGTGCTGTGGAAAGCAATAAAAGATGAGCCCATAGATAGGAGGAGGAGATATAGTGCACATCCACCGCTCAGAGAAGAATTTTTCTACAAGGTGAAGTGGAAATAGACTTAAAGCAAGCCCATGCCTGTCTGCCCAGAGTGTGACGTTAGGTCCCCCAGCCCGTGGCCCAAAACAGTACAAGTGCCCCCTCCAGAAAAGCCTCTGAGCCCTTCTGCAAGGGATATGTTTTTTCAACTGGCCACACGGGCTTCTCTTAGGATGCTGTGAGCTATGCAATACCCTTTTGACAGGCCATTCACCATCACATCTGTTGGCATCACCTCATCACTGGTGACCAAAACTCTGACACTGCGGCCCACCTCAAACTGTCCGGTAGTCAGTTTCTTCCAAGGCCACATGACAGGGTGCGATTAATGTGACTTTCTATGCTGAGGTTTGTAGGAGGTGGCTACCAGATCCTGATCTCAGTCTCTGCTGGGCTCTGCACTCCACCTCCATCCAGGGTGCTGTGAATCTGAGATGTGTGCACAGAAAAATTGGAAACAAGAACGTCCGCACCGTTTATTTTAATCACTGCGGTCTGCCCATTGATCTCTTTGCATCACCTCTTTTTCCTTACTCAGTGGTAGAGTTTGCCGAGCAAGGTGGATGGAGTGGAAGGCACTTTCCAGCTTAGCCTGAGGAAGCAGGTCTCCCCTCTGTTGAAGCAGGAACCTGCCACTCACTGGACACACCTCCTGGGCACTGCACCAGCTCTCCTCTTGACACTCAGGCCTCAGAAGGCATTTTGCTAGGTCAGAGATGGCTTTGGGAGAGAGCGCGAGCTCAGACTATTTCTGAGCACTCTCTCATGCTCTGCCGGGCTGAGGCAGACAGCACCTGTTCACTGTACTTGAAATGCAGCAGAGCACTGGAGTTCCTTTCACCCAGGTCACCCAACAGCTGTCACTCGCACAATGCCTCTCAGCCACTCTGGGCCTGATTTGGATTTGACCTGCTGACCCCGAGGTGAAAGGCTCCACAGTCCACCATCAGTCCCTGCAGCCAGTCCATTCTCTCAGGAAAGCCTCTAAATATATCCTTCCCATGTCCAGGGAAACCAGCCTTTATACTTTGCAAAGGTCTTCTGAGTTTAAAACGTATCTGTGACAGTTCAGTCGCATAAAGATTTAATGAATCCCCACTGAGAGCAGAACAGCTGCACTTTAAAAAAAAAAAAAAGTCTGGATAAGACAAG